CTACAGGCATCCTGGAGTTTTTCTCAGTGGTCAAGTGGTAGAAGTTCCAGAACTTCACTAAAGAAGTACCTTGGAAAGTAAGAGAGAGGGAGAAAATGAGAGCAATAACAAGCTTTCCTTGATTCTTAGCTGGCTGTTGTCCTAACTCACAAACAAATCCTGTAGGCTAATTACAATGGTTTCTTGTTGGTAGTTCTGTTATTCTATTGGTTGTCTTCTTGGACTTTTTGTCTAAGAAGAACACTGAATTTCTGTCATGTAGTTGCTAGAGCCACATTGATTTTTTATTATTAGCAAAGAAAGAAGTACTCCTAATCAGCAGTCATATGACTACAGTAATACAGTGTACATAATCTCCTGTGACAAAGAAATCTGAAAGGTAGTGACACAAAATATATAGGATTTTGTCACAGAGACCTCTTTGGAATCTTCCAGTTCCCTTTCATCCACTTGCCCAGTGGAGGAGAAGGACAATCTCTCTTTTTCTTTCTACTTTTTTTTTTCTTTTGGTATGTATATTGTGCATGTGCAAATCAATATGTGTATGTATTTGTAGAATATGTTCTCATGAAGTAGTTAGAAAATGATTGATTGTGCCCCTGGCTTGCATGGTGAGACATTAGGTATCTGTGCTTTGGCATTGCATAAGAGATCCAATATATTTTGTAACAGTAGTTGGAAGAGAAGTTTTATACATGAGGTGAGTGGATCTTGCAAGGAGATGTGGCAACCACAGAATCCATGCAACCGTTTTTGAAATTTAGAACAGTTCCAATCAGTTTAAGCTATGGGCAAAAATACTGAGTGAGCAAAAGGTTTGAGACAGGGGGCCTAGAGAAGAGCTAGCTAATTGTACTGTTGGGTTTTTAAATAAATTATCAGTCATGCACACAAAAAAATCTCATTTTCTGCATCTGCTGAAGTAAATTCTAAAAGAGTGAGCAGAATCAACAGATAGCTCTCTGAATAATTTGCACTAGAAGCATAAGTTTTCCTGATTCCTAGTTATCTAACAATAACAAATAATTAAAAGATTTTCCTTTATGAATGTACTTAGTAAAAGGAAACACTTGAACCAAAAGTGCATCTGAATTTCAGAGAACTTACGTACTGCATTCTGATAATGTTTGCATATTTCTTACTTTGGCACCTACTCAAAACTATCTCATTCCCATAGTAGAAAACGTCTCTAAGTTATGTCTTTCGGGTTTTAAAAATATAAAATTATTTTAAAATATTGGGGAAGCTCTCTTTTGGTATTTCTTTTCAAGAATGCCCCATGGGCCCATATCAACCACCTAACCAGGTGTGGGCATCCTTGGGCTGTATGTTCTTTGTAGTACCCTTTGCAGCCTCCAGGTGCTCTCCCAGAGTGATAGAACAAGCACTTTGGAGCTTTCTTCATTTGAGGATGTGAGGCTTTAATGGGCAAAATGGATGCTACAACCCTTGGAGGCTTAAAGCACCCATAAAATAACCTCAACCTCCCAAATTAGGCTGACTTCTTTTGGATCATATGTTAAGGGGTAAAATGGATGCTGTAAGTCTCTGCAATTCTTTAAAGTATCCATTTTACCCCTTAACCATTCTTCGAACCCACAATGGAGGAAAAATGTCTGATAATTCTGGCCTCTCCAAGTCTCCAGCCAAGTCCTCTGGGACTACTCAGGCAAGGCAGAAAAAGAAGGGCATCTCCCAGGTGGGAAAAAAAAGTCCATCCCTGCCCAAAGCATCCTTAGACAAGAAAATAACTTTAACTTACATAATACTTTTCTGTTAAGATCAGTAACTGCATTGTAATTGGTGAGATTTAAATTCATTGTGCGCAGATATTGGGGTCAGGCAGCCTCTAAATCTAACAAATAAACAGTAGTAAAATGGCATCACAGTCATACTGATAACAGTATTCTACCAACAGTCCAAAATAAAAATAGGATATTCTGATGTGGTAGCAAGAGGCTATTGATGATAATGATTTGGCTTATGCCAGGACATGCTTTAGAGCAGTGCTTCTCAACCTTGGCATCTTTAAGAAGTGTGGACTTCAACTCCAAGAATTTCCCAGCCAGCATGCTGGCTGGGGAATTCTGGAGTTAAAGTCCACACATCTTAAAGTTGTCAAGGCTGAGAAACACTGCTCTAGAGAAAAGTATCCTTCCTTCCTTGACTTTCCTTACTGATAGAGATCTGTCGTGAAGGTGCCATGAAGTCACTGGAAAACATGTACAATGAAGATTCCCAATTTTGTAGAAGGTTGTAACTATATACACTTCAACACATGACGACTATACAGACATCAAAAATGGGGCTAAAGCTGAGGAGCACTGAATATTACACTGGAAATGGATTCATGGATGAATATTGAAAACCCACTTGTCACAACTGAAGTGTTTATTATTACCAAAATCATTCAGGGCATGTGGCAAAGAATGAAGATCAAACTTTTGAGTCCCAATACTGAAAAACCTGTGATAGAGTGAGTTGATACTACTCTTTGGAAATGCACTGCTATGAATACTACTAAATATAAAAAGAATGTAAATTTAACTCTGTCTCTTCCAAGAAATAATGGTGGGGACATAATTTTGTGCAAATGTTGAAAGTTCACTTGATATATCTACTTCCTTTCTTCTGGATATATGTATTGATGTTACTTTATTTTTTTATCTCTATATTGCTTCTTCTCCTAGAGGAGACCACAGCAGTTTATAAAAGAAGGGCAAAAAGTCTTAAATAAAAGCATTACAAATCACAGTGCTTATAAACTGTTCTAGACAGTTTCTCTGGGTTTCCAGGTAATCTCTTATCTAGATATTGACTGACCTAGACCTGATTAGCTTTAAGGAAGTGGCTGGAAATTAGGTTCTCTGATCAAGTTGTAGATATTGGCCTAGCTGATTCAAATTTGTTTGTAGAGATTAACAATCTAATTAAATAGAACTGAAATGTCATATACAGTCATTTAAAGTCCTGTAAGGTGCATAGGGTATACATCCAATTCTTCTTTGGTACTCAAAAGCAAATTCTGGAATGACCACCAGATAGGAATTTCTAAAGGAGGACGTTTTTGTGTCTAATGGATTATGCTTGTTTCTATAATTCTATAATTTTGCCTTTCCTTTCCTCTGAGAGTTTTGTTGACTGTCCCAAAGCTTACCTAAAGAGTTCCAGGATCCAACTAGGATTTGAATCTGGGTCTTCATCGTTCGTTTATTTTTAAATCTATATAGCCACCCAACTCTCATAATTGCAACTTTGGGCAGAGTACATGAAATAAAAACCAAACAAAAAACCATGATTATAGGTAATAAAAAAAACATACAAAATCAAAAGAAACAAATTCCATACCAAATATATTAAACAGCCCAGTCGGGGTCAAACACACACTCTACCTCCCAGGAGATGGTCTCATCTAACATTCTGGCCCAAAACCTGAAGGGGAAAAACAGGATTTTAAAGCTTTCCGAAAAGCTAACTGGGTTGGGGGGATTTGAAATGCATAGCAGAGGAGAGATTATTCCAAAGGACAGGGACTGCCACATAAAAGGAACAACTCCTAGATCCCATTAAATTGCATTGCCTTAAGGAGGGGATCTGGAGCATGCCAATCCTGTGAGAGCAAATAGGACAGGCAGAAATAATTGAAGACAGACAGTTGTGCAAATAATCTGGTCCTTTGTCATGTACAGCTTTGTAAGTGATAACTTAGTTGGTTCAACTCAGCCTCTTTACTATTACTAATTGGGATACTGAAATTTACTCCATTATAGTATCTTGCATATTGGCACAGGAAAAGCAACACAAAACATTGAAAAGAATGTTGGGATTCATAAACTAAATTGAATTTAGGTAGAAAGCATTCCTCTTTTTGCTTGAAAAATATCTCAATATTACTTGAATATAAAAATGATGATGGAAATGTCATACCATTTCAGTGAGTTCAGAGTAGCTGTTTTTGCAATTAAAAAAAAAGGTTGGATATGATCATGCCAAGTAATTAAAATGCAAGCCTGATTTTTTGTGACTGAGAGGAGGGCACTAAGGAGCATATTTCAAAAGATGTGCTAGAGACAAGCAAGAATATTCTATTAGCAGAGGGGAGGGTGGAAGCCAAACAACAACAAAAACACTGAAAACTGACTTTAGTCAACTATTGGATTGTTTCTCCCCCCCACCCCTCTCCTGCTCCAAGCATTTTGAAGGCAAAACTGCTGAGAATTGGTAATCATCCAAATAATTTAAAGCAGAAAAAAATCCAAGTAATATGGTAAATTGTCTGGTGCTTCCAAGCTGTTACCACAACAGCTCTCAGCTATGACCGCTATCTCATTCTATTGTCAAGTTTAAATATCTGGAACAATTCTTGCTTCAAGCTGCAATCAAAATCTGTAAACACATGAATAGACAGTGTGTGGGACTTAGCCATTTTGGACAGACCCTGAGATACATAGGGATGGAGGGTTTGGGGGTTTTTTCCCACATAAACTAAAAGGAATAATTTCTGTGCACTGGAAGCCAAAATTTTAACAATACTGTTCCAGTCTACCTTTGAGCCAACCTAATGTGCTTTGAATGTATTAATAATTTTGAAACTATTATTTTTGTTAAAAATTACAAGAACTATAAGTTGATCTGCCTCGATTTTACACAAGAATTCCTCTGTGTATAGGAGGAAAGGTCATCTCTTTAGTTACTCTTGCATTTGAGTGGACACCTTGTTACAATGTTTCAGAAGCAGCAAGGAGTTCAGTTCAGTTGTGAAAAATGTTACTGGAAATGCAGCTTTATTTTAGAGAAGAAATAACTGACTGATTCAAATTTTTGCTGTGTGTTCAGTGATTCAGGGTTTTTTGATATAGTTCATTTTGTGTATTATGCAAAATATGTGTATATTATACACAATTTGTTCATTTTGCATATTTTACCAAATAAATGCGTATGTTATATAATTTCTGCCTACCCATTTAAAACTTTCTCTCTCTCTCTTTTTTTTTTGGTAGATTATGATTGAGTTTTGTCCTGGTGGAGCAGTAGATGCTACTATGCTTGGTAAGTGCAGTGAAGCTTCATACTGTCAACCTTTGGAGTCTGTTGGTAAATAAATAGGCACTGACCTCTGCTTATACAGTAGATCATTCCATATCCTGTAGGATATTACAGCTTGTGCCTATAGGTATATGCCTAAAGCATTCCTATAATAGCCTGACAATAATCATATACGTATACAGGAAATTCAGTAGTAGGAAGTTGTATGCCATTACGGAAGAGGGTTATTTTCACAGCTTTTCTTAAAATACAACAAAGCAGGCAAACATGTGGATGTTGTGCTTTATTTCTGATATCAATCTGGGAGTTGTGGCTTCATCCTGCAGAATGGGAAGTGGCCAGTAGTGAAAAAAGGAAGAGCAAGCCTATTTAAAAAGTTCTTCCAGTGATGTGACTTAATTTGCTGTAGCTGATATTTCAAGGTGACCTGCAACTATGGCTGGGTTTCCATGGTCTTCTTGATAGGAAAGAAGAGGAGTTTTGTGTTCTTCAGGATTGTAATTGCACAGTGTTTTTCACAATCACCTCTAGGACTGAAAAGGTGTTTTTAAGGGAAAGCAAAGTGAAAGAATCAAGCAATATTTCAAATTCCTAAAGGTTCAGCCACTACACTTAAGGCAGGGGGTGGTGAAGTTCTGCCTGCTTAGGGGAGACTTGGCAGAGAAACTGCAGATCTAAACTCCTAGACTATATCTTCAAAGGAAGAGGGGAAAACTTTAGTATTAGTCATTGTAAAAGACTGATTCTCATCATGGGAAATGAATTCCAACTGTGCCTTTAGTGTCATGATGAATATATCCTTTGGTTATTGCAACCTTGAAGACAGCTGTCGTGGAGAGGAATTGAAATCCTGAAAAAACTCTTATAGGCAAGTTTTGCTATCTCTGGAAACATTTTGAAGAAATATAATGCTGACAGAATGGAACATTCCCCCTACCCCTTCAAGCATGTCTATCCTTTAAACAAATAAATGAATCAAACTTCTCTACTGGAAGTGGGCAAATAAGAAACCAACACTGAAATGGAAGCTTTCCTCCTTTGGTTAAGATAACTTTGCTCCTGAAAGAATGGCTGTCCTACTTAATAGGTCCCTCTTGGATTAGCCCTCTTTGGCATTTACACTGGGTCATGCTAGTTAATGCAAAAGGTAGGGAATATTCTTAGTATCTTATCTATGTGGTTTAGCAAAATAAAAATAAAAATTGAGGAAACAATTTTTTAAATAACAAGTTATTTTAATTTCTATTAAAATAACTGTGAGTCAAGGCTTTCCTTATTTTATCATTAGTCATCTGTAATAATTGTGCCCTGGAGAATTAAATATTTATTTATATAAAGAGCCTTATCCCTCTTTCCAATGAGCATGCATCTCTTGGTATGCTAAACAGCCCTGTTGGCTTTCAGCCTTGAAGACCTGGGTTTTTTTCCCCCCCTTGGGCTTTGGGCCAGTGTTGGATGAGCCTGTTATACAAAGTTTTTGGAATTTGGCATATATGTGGTTGGCCTTGATTATTCTGTATTGTGGCATGTCTTTGTGTGTGATTATTTTTAGTTTCTATGTTTTTAACCCATGTAAGCCACCCAGAGTTGCTATTTGCAAGTTGGGCAGCCATATGTATCCTTTAAATAAATAAAGTCAGTACACATGTTAAACTGTTTTTAAAAAGAGCAGTGCTTAAAAAATCAACAATTACAAAAGATATATAAGTATAAAGTAAGCAGGAGATTGCATCTTCTATAGTTTATGTTGCTTATAGAAAGAATGCCTAAGAAGAAGGGATTGACCCACCCTCAGTACCTCTCATACCCCTTCCTGCTAGGTGGTTCAGAAGACTACCATGATTTATGCTAATGAACGTGACTGAGGGATTGAGTAGGCAGTCTTGTTGTCTTCCTCACCTTTACTAGGCCCTTGACAGAATAAAGTCCTTTCAGCTTGGAATAGCTGCACCGGATGACTCTCTTTGGATGCAAATGGACGGCAAAGTACTTTTTTGTTTGTTTGCTGTCCACGTCATGGCACAGGGCTCCATATGGGCTCCAGGCTGTCTTCCAATGGATTTTCCAAACTGTTCCTCCATGGCACTCAAGCCTTAGCCTGTGTCATTGCCAGAGCTCCTTATCGGGGAGACTGTATGTGTTTCCCAACTGATTTCCCTGTCCCAGACATTAACGGAGGCTTTGCTAGAAGTGAAATTTCCCCAGAACAACCAGAAAACCATTGAGATCTATACTGTCCCTCCATATTCAGATCACTACCTTCTTGTCCTCAGATAAAAACAGGAGAGGAGGAGGAAAAAACGTGATTCCTGTTTTATGGGGCCAGAATCCTTTTGGACTGCCTCTTGATAACCACAGCCATGATTTAATCACTGGGCTGGATTCAATGTCTTTTCAGCTATCAGTAATGTTTTCTAAGCAGAGTGCCATTTAGAAGCACCCCTCCAGTGAGAAAAAGAGGAGGTGTGATAAATGAAACAGACAATGCATACTTCTACACAGTATCTAGTTTTTTTCAGTAGTGATGGCATTTGAATTTTTATACTTTAAAGCTGATTTTGCTCTAATTACTTTAGACCTAAATATTGTAAACTCCAGATTCTGAAAATGAAGATGATTTTTTAAAAGCTGTGTTTAATATATGTGGTAGCTTTTAGATATTAACACGAGTTACCTATATTTAAGAGGAAATAGGCTATGGTCCCAAAAACATTTATTTCAGATGTTAGTCTTCTTCACTGTGTTTTATTAGTCAACTAATTAAGCTTTAATTAACTGTCACTCTCAGTTGTGTGCATACTGCTGCTAATTGAATCTCAGAACTAAGAAAAACTGAACATGAGAGGCTTTCCAACTGTTTTATAGAGCTGGATCGAGGCTTGACTGAATCACAGATCCAGGTGGTTTGTCGCCAGATACTGGAGGCCCTGAACTATCTGCATGGCAAGAAGATTATCCATCGAGACTTAAAGGCAGGCAATGTGTTGCTGACCCTAGATGGAGATATTAAACTTGGTGAGACAAAGTACTTTACTGTTGACTGAGAAATAGTTGGTATGCCAAAAGATTGCTTCTTGCATTCAGCAGGTATGAAAAGTAGATGGAGTATTTTTTTTTTAACCGTTGGGACTCTTGTAAAAATAACTATTAGACATCTGAATTTTCTTTCAATAAGTCCTTAACGCACAATCCTGTATTCAGAAGCAAGTCCCACTATTTAGTGGAACTCACTCCTGAATAAGCATGCACTGGATTGCAGTCTTGGTGGGCTTTTGTAATGTTACCAGCCATGACAAAATGTTAAAAAACTAACTGGAAGTGTATTTCTGAGGACAAAAAAGATTAAATGGTCACGGGGCCAAAAGCTGCTAGAGAAGTCAGAAATAATACAAGTAAAATTCTTCTTCCTTCTTCAGATTCAGAGTATAGATTAGTTGTCTTTCAGGGATTGATAGGTTGTTTATAATCCATAAAACACGGAGAATGTAAATGAAGTTTACAATTATTTTAGATCTCATGAGCAACATGAATGTGGAACAGATCTCTGGCACCAGATAGTATCCATACAGGACTTTTTAAAGTACTCAGATATGAAATTGCTGATCTTCTAGTAAAGAAAAAAAAAAGGGGGGGGTCTAAGACCAGCCTTTATATTGGAGGTTGCCCCAAGGAACAAGGATGGAGGCTTTATTTAAGAACAAAAGTCATGGCACAAGAATAAATGGACCATTCTCACAATAGAAAGAGAATTTCCTAATAGAAACCTCTAAGGACTGTATTGAGTCTAATGCTTTTAAGCATGTTCATAAATGGCATAGAGGTGGTGGTGAGCAGAGATGTAGTTTAGTGTAAGCTAGTATAAGGTGATGCACTTTAAAAAAAAAAAACTTTTTTTTTTTGACTGAGGTTTTGCTGAATGGGAAAGTCAAGGAGTCGCTGGGTGCCTAGCTTCATCTTCAGAATTTCAGTGCTTGCTGCTGATCTCTCCCCCACCCCCTTCCAGGAAATTTATGGTGTGTGTGTGCTGGGGGGTGGAGTCAGTTTAGCAACTTTGTCATTTTATGAACTTTGAGGAATGTAACACTGGCTACTGTGAGAAAGACACAACCACCAAAGAATTTTCTTCTCTTACTGGCTTATACAGTATCTCTTTGTCCAAAAGGCCACCCAATTTTCCATGTTGCCACATAAGGATAGCTGTTGTTCTGATGTTCTTGTCAGACTCTTGGGATTTTTACTTGTCATCCCAACGCTTAGATGTCTAGAAATGGTTCCTTGGGATTAGGTGCTGTTGTGTAAAACTCATTTCAAACATTCTCCTTTGTAAGCAGAAGGTTTTGGCAATTAACTCTAGATGGAAATCCTGTTTGCAGAGCAAGTTAGTATTGGGCAGGTATTTAGAAGAGGTTGCTATAATCACATGCCTCAAATAATCAGCATCTATCTTTTCAGGAGCAGAAGAGAAGTTTAAGTTTTGCATTATGCCTGGGGCCCTTTCATTACGTCTAATTCTGATGTTCCCTCTCAAGCTATCTTCCCATCACCACTTTCATCTTCAGGCTTGTCCCATCTTAGTCTATTCAGGGTAGAATTATGACAGTTCCAGTTCTGCTAAGAAGAGCATCCAGTAGTATGTGAATTCTCTGGGGCAGCAGTTATAAGATCCAAAATGGTACAATAAAGACTCCTGTGTGTAGTTGATGAAGAAATTAGGGACATTAGGAAGACTAACAAAAGCAGAAGTAGTAGGTGTAGGAATGTAGGGGAGATGCCAAAAGCTACTTATGAATTCAGCATTTTTCTTATTATTCTGTGAGGCATTGTGTATATATCAATGCATGATATTCTTTTGGAGTTCTGGTGGAATTGACATCTTTTCTATATGAGTGGAGAAAATATAGTTGGTTGGTGTGAAGAGACAAGAAGGCTCACATGTCTTGCTTTGTATCGTCTTTCTAGTGGAAATTTCTGAGATGGAAATAACACGTATGTAAAATAGAACTGTAAATTACTGTAGGAAAGAGAATTTAAATAGCAAAGCCATGAATGGTGCGTTAGGATGTGGCTGAGGTCTGTTACATCAAATTGTTTCCCTGTTACAGTAAAGCAAAATGCTGCCCTAACTTGATGGGGGATTTAGAAGGGCTTTCCTTACTGTCCCTATAATTATGGTTTACCTAAAAAAAGCAAGTTCATCAGAAATCTGGGTTATTTTTCACATCCCTCTCAAAAACTCATCTACGTTGAAGTAGTTTATCTTATGAGAAGAATATTGGGTAATTATGAATATGTTTTCCAGGTATAAAGTTTGCCATTTGATAGTATCATTTTTAATGTGTTTCAGATCATTGGTATAGGCCAGAAGTGGGAAGAGCCAAGTTTCTTTGGCTCTAGCATAGCTAATAGAATATGGGAATTGTAGTACAGCAAGATGCAGAGGGTCACAGGTGCCCATCCAGGTTAGAGTTTCTATTGGTCTTCTGTATGTGTGCTTTGAGAAATAATCAAACTGAGGTAGTGATAGGGTAAAAGGTTGCTCTTCTCTTTTAACTGCACTGGTACCCGAAACGTTCATTAGAGGATTGAATGTGACTTCAACTCTTTTCAGCTGATTTTGGAGTATCAGCCAAAAACATGAAGACTTTGCAGAGGAGGGATTCCTTCATTGGCACACCATATTGGTAAGAGGATTCATTCCCAACAGCATAACCTTTGAAGAAGCCACTGCCAAATTTGATTGGGAGAGGAGGAAGGGATGTTCTATCCTAACCAACACATGGTGTTGTTACTTATTACAGGGCTGTATTTTAAGTTATGCCCTGAGTGTATGGATATATTTGTGTGTCATGTGACTGATATTTTAATCTTAATTAGTGCAATGTCCTATTTGCATGTATTTTAAATGAATGTAAAATATAAAAAGACTATATCAACCTAGAAGGCAGTGCTGCATTTAATTATTGTTTTTAAGTGAGTTCGTATGTTTCAAGGACTTTATCCTTGGAAGTGGAGGGCAACATTGACAGAAAAATGTGGAAGAAATAAAGACTGTCAGTTGTAGCAATATTCTGTCATTTGAATCACTGCTCTGTTAGGACAGTAAAGAAACTACAGCCCATATCTGGAATGAGATGTTGATGGAATTTGGGCTGTTCTCTCTTCTTCTCACCCCCCACCATTTGATGGAATGTCCTTTTGAAGCAGTTCCAAGGGTATGAAAACAACTGTTCACTCCAGGAATTTAATCTCTAAATCAGCCACGTCATCATTAAGGGGATGCAATCAGTGTGCATTTAATTTGCCATTTCAAGCAGTATTTAGGCCAGATGTCATTAGCCGACTGGTTGTCTTCTGTGGCCAATTGAGAATGGAGAGATGAATGACCGGGGGTGTATATATGGACTGGATATAGTCTACAGAGGTTAACCATTTTTGTTACCTATTAATTCAGTAGAGGATATATGTTATGTTCAATGGTATTGCCAAAGACAGTAGGACTCAGAAGTCTGTAATGCTGGCTAGTTCATACCAAGGACAGAAGGGATGAATTTTCATATTTCATTCATAGTTTAGTTGCAGAGTGGTATTTTTAAGGTTTATGGTCAATCCTAAGCCTAGACTACTTGAATATATAGTTTAGCTTGAAAACAGGCTCTGGTTCTTAGAACCACTTTCAGTAGAAATGTATTTGTAGCAGAATTTCACTCTTCTTTGTTTTTTTAGGATGGCTCCTGAAGTGGTGATGTGTGAGACTATGAAAGACACCCCTTATGATTACAAGGCTGATATCTGGTCCTTGGGCATAACACTCATAGAAATGGCCCAAATAGAGCCGCCTCATCATGAGCTCAATCCTATGAGAGTCTTACTGAAAATAGCCAAATCTGATCCTCCTACTCTTAATTATCCATCAAAGTGGTGAGAAAATTTTTCTTGTTTGCTTATGGTCAGGAATACCTGCAAGAAGTGTCTTGGCTTTCTCTCCCTCCTGCCTTTACCAACAATAATTAATAGGGAATGAATATTTTAGTATATTAATCAACCACCTTTGTTAGTAGCCAAAATAGATCTGAAGCAAATGGAATAATCATGGTATAAAAGAGGCTGAATTTGAAAACCTGACCCCTTCCACCTATTACTGAACTCTACCTATCAGCCTCAGCCAGCATGGCTAATCATTAGGGTTCCCCAGCTCTGCTATAAAATATTGCCATTGCAGGTTGGGACCCATTTAATAAAAAGTTCTCAAGAAGGAATAAGCAGAGGAAAGGAAGTATTTTTCTTATTATTTTAAATTTGTCTTTTCAATAACCTTGGTCTAGTTTAGGAACACACAGCCCAAGGCACCAAGGCCTTACTTGAACCTTTAATGCTTTGAATGCATCCCTCAGGGCTACTTTATAACTTGCCACCAAACAGTAATATTTAATCTGACAGAAAAAGGAAATAATTAAAAACATGATGAGTAATCACCTTAACTACATTTAATTAAGTCAATTAAAGTAATTTTAATTAGGTTTTGCTCTTCCTAGTTTGTCAAGTCCAGCCCTTGGGGCATCACTTGAAATGTTTCCAGTGAAAGGATTATGTATCCCTAGTCTTGATTAAGATCCCCCATGATGGTCTCCAGGTTAGCTATAACTTCTGCCCCTTTCACTATTGACTGTGAGTTTTGGAGCTGATGGAAATTATTATTCCAGTAATATCTAACAAGAATAACATTGAGATATCAATCAAATCAAGTTGGTAACAGTGACTGTTAGTGCTAAATTCTAATTTGTTCATACAGGTAGTCCCCAGTTTAAGAAGGAGTTCCATTCCCAAGGTCTGTCCTTAAGTTGAATTTGTATGTAAGCCAGAACAGTATTAT